CACAAAAGCACCTCTGCTCCTGGGTGCCACGGTGGGGAAGGCACTGGGGCTGCTTGGCTCCCCTCCATCCTGCCCTGCAGTCCCAGAGCGGGGTCCCTGCCTTCGCTCCCATGGGTGCTGGCCGTCCCCCAAACTCCCCTCCGGGTACCCAACAGGCTCCAGGCTTCTGCATCGCTGCCCGGCTCCCTCAGCCGCCCCTCCTGCTCAAAGCCCAGCAACCAACAGCTTCTTTCCCTCCTGGCAGCTGAAAGCCACACATAAAAATACCTGCCTGGTGGGTTAAAATGAAGGTACAGATTTTTGCCCAGGAGGTGGCAAGCACAGAGCTGTGATCATCCCCAGAAGTCCTCTGGCTCTGCTGCAACAGTCCTCTGGGGTGGGAGGGTCCCTCACCAGCCTTCGCTGCGTTTGGGCTTGGTCTTCAGCCAACCTTTGCAATCTCCAACATCTCTTGCTTGTGCAGTCTCAGGTTGGGATGCTCTACATCCACAGAGTAGGCTCCACGCTTGTCTCCTCCACCGGCACCGCTACTACCATGCATCCCCCGGCCGTACCCGGTCACGGGGTCCCTCTGCCCCGTCACGCTCTGCCCCATCTCTCCGCAGGCTTCTACAACGGCCACACCAAGGGGGCCATCAAAAACCTGAAGCAGGGCAGCATGTCACCCAGTGCCTTCCTGGCGGAGGCCAACCTCATGAAGAACCTGCAGCACCCGCGGCTGGTGCGGCTCTACGCCGTGGTGACGAAGGAGCCCATCTACATCATCACGGAGTACATGGAGAAGGGTGAGGGCACCTGTGGGTGGGGGTGGCTGGGGGCTGTGAGGAGCCGTGGTCCCTTCGGCTCCCAGCTGTTCCCTTCCAGTGGTCGGTGCTGGCTTATGTATCTCAAACTGCTTTCGGCATCCTTCACCTCCATGTGCTCTGCCTTTGCATCATGGCTCTCCCACCAGCTGGGAGCTCGGGGGTCAGCCCTGGCAAGCGCAAAAGGACCTTGCAGGCAGGGCGGGCTCCTGCCCATCCACTCCTGCCTGCTTTTCCGGGGGCTGCGCGCGGGCCTGCCCCCCCCTCGGCG